TCTTGCCCGCAGGAGTGTGGAGATAAAGGGAGGGAGGAGGTGGGCAGGGCAGATGTGATCGTTTAATCTCACTCCTGATGCAGCCAGTGTACCCTCACCCTGCCAGACCCTCAAAGAAGGGTCGCACTGGTCCTCCCACTGATCCCAGGCCTGGATGTCAGGCCTCAGAAGTGGAGTCCCTAACATTCATCCTGCTTCAACATCCTGCCCAGTCCAGCTTTGATCCTATCTTGCATCTTCTGGTTAAAGTTTTCCAGGGGAGACGGAGGTTGGAAGGAAAAGAGGAAGTAGCTGGAGGTAAATTCTGCTTCCCCAATATGGGAATCTAAGAGAAGGATATGAGACATGTCGAAGCAGGAAGCAACTTGGGGAGAGAGCACTTATGACCTAGGAGGCAAAGATCTTGGAAGGAATGTGGAGTCATCACCACCCCTCCAAGAGGCTCAGTTCTAAGACCTGCCCTGCTGGCTTTCAGGGATGCTTGAGTAGATACCCTGTGATCTTAACCAGATACCTTCCTGGATGCTAACAATGTACAGTTGAGAAAACAGATGAGTTCATCTTTTGTCTAATGAATGGCATTAAATATTAGTAGCTACCATATGGGTTGCAGACCCAGTAGACAGAGACCATCACAGAAATCCACAGCTACTCAGAATGTAGAAAACAATCTACCATGGAGTACCCAGCCCCAATCCATACATCTCCATACATCTACAACTCCCTCCCCATCGACACACACCTAAGGCTCATGGAACCTCTTGGAAGAGGGGAAGATGGTAAGAATCAGAGGACCAGGATATCTGCAAGAGACATGTCTTCTATATATGACCAGGAAGCTGCACCAATGAAATCTCAACAATACGGTGCCTAAACAAGACTTGAACAATATCAGTTGACATGCCAATGTGGACCGGGAAATCTCAAGGGTCCCCATGCCTGCATAAGGAGCTATAGAAAATCAATGACTCTGAGAGGAGAAGCAATATTCCCCTGAGATGAGTCCCTTAATTGTTTATCCAATACCAAGTGATCAGCCCTAAAAACAGTATATATATATATATATATATATATATATATATATATGAGAGAGAACTACATGTACTCAGCTGACTACATTATATGTATGTATACATGTGACAAAAATCAAAGAAAAAAGAATAAAACATTTAAATAACTTAAAAATACAAATTGAGTGGTTAAACAAAAGATTATTTTTAACCGTATTGCCTCTATGAAGGATATGGGCAAGTTAATGTTCAGTGAATCATCTTGAAGTGACTAACACATTATGAGCAATTGGCAAAATTAGCCAAATAAAATGAACAAACCCAGATTTTGACAATGGTAGGTTTCATCCCAGTACAGAGAGAGGCCACTTAGAATGTTCTAATCAGAGGGCTTGACTTCATTAGCAATAGGGCCCAAGATGCACTGACTACCCTGGATGGCCCCACTGGTAGGTGTGGTCACTGAATCAGCACTCAGAACCCGGCCCACTTTCTTCTCCGGCTTCCTCCTGTGTCTTTTCTAGATGGCAGCCAGGGATGCACAGAGGCTGTGAGTGAGCAGGGCAAGAAGCATCTACCAACGGCTCTGCCGAGTGCCAGGGACATTTCCTCCTTACAAGTGTCTTCGAGATGAGTGTCTCCACTCTCAGCTCTGAGATGGAGAAACCAGCTTGGTGCGTCTACACAGCTAGTGAGTGAATTTGAACCCCTCGGGTCTCTCTTGAAGACTCTTTCCATTGCCTCACACTTCTTATAGATCCATCTCTAAGACTCGTATTTTGGCGACTTGAAAATTCTCCAGTTTAAAAATGTCACAACTTGAAACTATACTTGGTGATGTGTGGTGGTACGTACCTATAATCCCAGAGCTCAGGGGCTGAGGCCCAAGAATCATGGGTTTGAGGCCAACTTGGGCTACCCAGCAAGATCCTGTCTTTGAAAAAGAAAATGGAAAGAAAGATATAAAGGAAGAATGGAAAACACTCACCCACCCACCAGCACCACCTGCTCTTAAAAAAAGAAAGAAAATTGTATTTCAGTCCCTTCTTACCACAGCCTAAATCCTCAGTTCATTGTTCTATATCGCCCCCTATAGCCTACAGTTGTAGGTACTTCTAGATGGGTAAAGAGATGAAAGGTAAGAGCTGCTTTCATGTCTTTAACATACCCTCCCCCCCCCCACCCCGTCTGTGAGAGCGCCAAACCACTCCCCAGCAGAGCATCCTCTGGACTGCTCTGGCTTCTGCCGCTGTCTGGAGGGGAGGCTGGGCCAGAGCTAGTTGGACCGGAGTCAGGCAGCCACAGGTATCCTTCCAGGATGCCCCTCAAGGCAAATAAATGGAGGCTCCTCCAGCGGGGCTTCCCGGAGGAAATCAACCCCACCGCGTTGCCGACTTGACAGGAAGTGTGGGAAGACCCAGAGTTCCCGACTCGTGTCCAACATCCGCAAACCAAATCAACCGCACCTCTGACGCGGGGACCGTGGGTAGGAAACAGCCCCAAGCCCTGCGCCGCTTGGACTGGAGGGCCTTCCCTTGTGGATTCAGCTTGGGTCCTGGCAGTGTGAGGACCTAATCCCCCAGGGATGGAAGAGTCCCACAGGCTTCCTGCTTCCTGACTGGAGTTGGACAGTCTGATAAAAAAGCCATCTGAGCCTGAATAACCACATGTTTGTCTTTGCTCCATTTATCCTGGGGCCCTGGGATTTCTTCTGGAGTGGTTAATGCCCCCGGCTCTTCCTCTGTTTATTTTCTTTGGTTATTTTCCCAGAGCTGATGGATGTAGGAAGCAGTCAGTCCACGACTGGTTGGTTGGAGGCATGCAGGGCACAACCAGCGAAAAGTAGCCCACAGAATGTGAGGCTTTGGGAAGTACAGGAAGAAAAGGAAACAGCCTCCTCATTGGCCGATTTCTGGTGTTAGATATTTAACCCTTTGGGTTAGACATTGACGTGTGATTGTTTAAAATGCCGATGTCCTGACAATGGCCCATACAGGGGATCATGACACTTGATGACCTCTGCACACTTCATCCAAACTCAGCACCTTTCCGAATGTATATTTTTAAAATTGTCACATTTATTTATTTATTCAATGTATGTGTGACTGTACATGTGTGTGTGTCTGTGAGTGTGAGTGTGCATGGTTTTGTGTGTGTGTGTGTGTGTGTGTGTGTGTGTGTATGTGTGTGTGCACACGCCATGTTGTGTATGTGGAAGCCAGAGGACAACTTGCTTGAATTGACTCTCTCCTTCTCCCACGTGGGTTGGGATTGAACTCAGGTCATCAGTCTTGACAGCAAGTGTCTTTCCCCATCTTGCCAGCCCCCTTTTCATATTTAAGGTGGGAGTTCCATATCACAGGGATTAAATTGGGTAATCTACAAGAGAAGGCCTAATACAATTCATTTATTGTGGGCCTTTCCCACTACAAAGCTCAGAGAAGAGCCAAACATCTTGTTGTTATCTGTTCTCCCAGCTGTTTGTAGTCACAAAGTAGGTGCTCAATAAATATCTCATAAGTGAAAGAATCAGCCATGGCATCCTTTAATCTTAGCTGCTCACAAGGCTGAGGCAGGAGGATTGTCAGTTAAGGAAACTTAGGAAAACTGTCTTTAAAATGAAAAACACAGGCTGGAAAGATGGCTCAGCAGGTAAAGGTGCTTGTCACGGAAGTCTGACGACCCGGGTTCGATCCCTGGCACCCATAAAAAGGTGCAAGGAGAAGCAGCTCCACAAAGTTGTCCTGACTTCCACTTGCATGCCATATAATAATAAATAACACAAAATAATTAAAAAAAAGAGAGACAGGAATATAGCTTAGTGGCTAGTAATATGTGTTAAACCTGGAGCTTAAATTCCTAACACTTAACAAAAACAAAAAATAATGAAATCACAGCCAAGTTACCGAGAACTTACCGGCTGGGTTAAAAAACTTCTACACTTCCTATATGCTTAATTTCATGTTGGATAATGAAGTAAGCATTAATAACAACGGTATTTTTAGCCTGCAAGAACCTCGTGGGCAAATACATGCTTATGTTCACAAGGGCACTGTTGAGAGATTGATTGAAGGAAGGAATGCTTAAATCAGAATTAATTTGCCTACCTTCCGCCATGTGATGGACAGAGCACCAGCGTCGGGAGGGCCCTACACAAAGGCTCGGTTTTGTTTAAGGGGAGAGTGAAGAGAAAGACACAGCGCTGGCTGACCCTGGAGCCTTGGGCCTTAATTTAATGTAGTCCCTGATCCACATCCGGGTACCCACACAGGTGTTTCTGTCAGGATGCAGAAAAACCAAGGACTAGGGCACTCGAGGGAGATGTGATGGTTAATACGATGGTCAGCTTGATGGGACTTAGAATCACCATGGAGACACACCTCTGGGCATGCCTGTGAGGGTGTCTATAGGGACATTTAACTAAGGAGGAAAGACCCGCCCTGTGTGTAGGTGGCCCCATCCCGTGGGCTGGGGACCCAGACCGAAAAGAAGGGAGAAAATGAGCATAGCACCAGCATTGGTCTCCCTCTGCTTCCTGACTGTGGACTCAAGTGGCCAGCTGCCACACGGCCCTGTTGCCAAGGGCCTCTGTGCAGTGATGAACTCCGCTAACCTGAGCCAAAATGAACCCTTCTTTCAAGTTGCTTTGTCAGAGCAGTGAGAATACAAACAGAGAGAGGAAACTAGCCTGCTAACGAAGGGTGGGATGGACAGAATGCTAGCTCTGGAGCCGGGAGGCTAGTCCAGGAGCCGGGCTCTTGATTCCCCCCCCCCCCCCTCAGAAACCAAGAATGAAAATGCCAATCAGGAGGCCACACAGCAGCTCTTTTGTGCCCCACTTGAGAGAAACTTGATGAATATGTACGGAATTTTCTCTCCATGGAATGTGAGGGGATGGGCGTGTCACTGGTCACAGAAGGTCAGAATTCACTGGGGACTGATAAATCTTTGTGCCTAACGGACACTGCCACGGGGAACAGTGTGGCTGGGTGTGGAGGAGTCCCTGATGGAGAGTTTTGGTTCAGGACTTTGGAGCAAGGGATCTTGACTCTGGAGCGGACCGGGAGAGGCTGTGGCCGTCCTGCTGTGGGACAGTCCCACTCAGCCAGTTTCTAGAGGCTGTTAACAGCTTCTGTTCACACAGTAAGGCTGCTCCCCAGCCCCTCGGAACAGAAGTAGGAACAGGCTCCTGTTTCTTCTTCTGTTTGAACTGGGACTTTTTTTACTTTAGAGCCCAGCATAGTTAGATATTACTTCCCCTTTACCTCTGAACGGCGATTCTCAGGACCTCACAAACTGGGAAGACTTGGGAAGGAGCAGTTGGCTGGGGGGTGTCTGGATGCAGGTCTGCTCTAGGGCGAGGGAGCCTTAGGATCCTGCTTAACCACATCCCACTGTTTCTGCAAGGAACTGGAGTTCTTTCTTTGTCCTCACCCCCCCCAAAGGGTTTCCCTGTGTGGCCTTGGCTATCCTGGAACTCTCTCTGTAGCCCAGGCTGGCCTTGAACTCACAGAGATCCACCTGCCTCTGCCTCTGCTGGGATTAAAGGTGTGCGCCGCCGCCGCCACCGCCGCCGCCGCCGCCGCCGCCACCACCACCACCACCACCACCAGCTAAGGAACTGGAAATCTTACTACTGCCCTGGAGAGCATAAGTGCAGGGACTACTGTGCCCTCTGAGAGTAACCAGCATAGATGTCCTAGATCTCTGGGGTGCAGCCGTCCAAGTTGTCAGCCTGAGCTCTGGGGAGTTCTTTCTAAGAATGTGAGAATGTGGAACTTTTTTTTTTTCCCCTTGCCTCTTTGTTTTGAGACAGGATCCTCTGCATCGCAGGCTGGCCTTGAACTCACTATGTCATGGAGAAAGACGGAGAAAGACCTTGAACTTCTGTTCCCTTACCTCCATCTCCCAACACTGGGCTCACAATTCCAGTTTACCTGGTGCTGGGGATTGAACCCATGGTTTTGTGCGTGTGAGATAAGCACTCTACCAACTGACTACAGTCCCAGCCCCAGGTTTGGATTTTTGTTAGCTTCTGTTACTTCACAGTGCTGGAGTCCATCCAGGGCCTCCCACGGTGAGGGGAGCTCTCTATCACCACAGTCTCCTCAGTCTTGGGAGTCTGCATTAAGTTCATCTAAGTCCCAGGAAAAGGGAGTTTACCTGTGCCCCTCCCCCACCCGGTGCTGGTCTAGCCATCCCTGGCTTCCACAGGATGTTCCAGAGTCACCGTCTCACTCTGGGGACTAGACATGAGATAGGGGCATCCCTTTGCTTTTCACACAAGCACCCCAGGAGACTAGAATTCCCTGACTATTCTCAGGAATCCAGAACTGGTCGGGACTGTGGGGACACCCCCCCCACATCCCATCAGCCCCACATGTGATCAGAGGGAATGCATTTGAATGGCCAAAGACTTCACTATAACATCACCCAGCCACTGGCTTTGCAAATTTTTGTGTGTGTATCCGCATGTGTGTGTGTGTTTCCTATGAGTAGAGGTGGCCTGGGAGGCCAGAAGAGGGCATCAGATCCCCTGTGTCAGGAACCTCCCACACTCCAGAACAAGGTTCCTCCCCCTTTGGATGACTCAGCAGCGCCAACGCTGTGTCATTACTGAAGGCCAGTGTGACACGTTTCCCATGTCGCCATGTTCAAGGACGCATACGCTCCGTACCCCCCAGCCACCATGGCCTGCCCTCGCTGTCGTCTCTTTGGAGTTACAGGGGATTGTGAACTGCCAAACATGGGTGCTGAGGTCCTTTGCAAGAACACCAAGCACTCTGTGCTCTGAAGCCCTTTCTTCAGCCCTCTTCAATTTTGTTTCTTACTCGGCCAAGGTTGGTCTCAACACCAATGACTAAGGAAAGCACGAAAGACCAAAGATGGGGTGGGGAGCTGGGCTCCCTGGTCCTCACTGTTGGCATCTGACCCCACCCAGAGCAGCAGGGAGGACATGAGAGTCTACAGAGATCTAACCGGGAGCCAGGAGAGACTGGCCAGCCATGGTGGCAGGTAGGTGTGTGTGTGTGTGTGTGTGTGTGTGTGTGTGTGTGTCTGTTTCAGGCTCCAAGCAGCCTACTTCAGGCCCCGAGAGGAGGCTCCCCGCAGGTCCCACTTAGTAAACAGCCCCGGGGAATTCCTGCTCACACAAGTGACTCTTCAGACTCCTGAGCCGGCTGCCAACCTCATCCCTCTAAATTCCCCCGACTGCCCGGGGCCTCCCTGGAGAGGCCCCAGGCAACTGCTCGGCCCTGCTGGTGGCTTCTTACTTTCTCAGCACCCAGTAGAGGGTGGAAGGCAAAAGCTGATTAAGCCACTTAAGCCAAAACCGAAAGGAGGCTTAAAATTTCACCTGCAGGAAACTGTCCAGGGTTGCGGATGAAAGGACCGACCGACCGACCAACTGCTCAGAACGGCCGGCCTCGGCCGCCCCTCCTCCATAGCACACAGGGCTCCAGCATGTACACCCTTCACCGGGAAGCTACTGGGTGCACCACCGTGCTTGGTTCGAATTAGTTGAATTTTCTCAATAGCGTGTTTTACAAGCCAGGCATGGTGGAGCAAGGCTAGTCCCAGCATTTGAGAGACAGAGGCCAAAGGATCAGGAGTTCAAGGTCATCCTCTCAGCTACACAGCCAGCCTGAGACCAGCCTGGGCAATACTGGACCCTGTTGCAAAAAAAATAAACATAAAACAAACAAAAGCAACGTGGTGTTTCATATGAACTGTGTGATAGGTGCTGTTCCGTGCAGTTAAATAGTGTCATCTGAATCTTCAAAAAACACTATTATGCCCATTTTAATTCTTTTTTTTTTTTTAAAGACTTATTTATTTCTTATGTATACAGCATGTATGACTGCTGGCCAGAAGAGGGCACAAGATCTCATTACAGATGGTT